TTATAGTACTGCCTTACAAATTCTACTCTTAAAATTAGCAGTTTTAGTTAAGATGATTAAGTCATTAAAAAATGGATTACACATTTAATATAACGGGCCGATCTGTATCAGAACTTTTCTTCTCCCGAATTGCTACGAGGCTTTGTTTGCAAAGCTAATTAACCAGATAGGTAATAGGTTTAATTTGGGGAATGCTAGCTATCCTTTGGTTCTGTCTCACATACATATTTTTTCTTGGAATGAATTACGGTAACAAATATATCTTAACATTATCGTATACAGGATGGCGGATTATCTACATTTAAGCAAGGCGTCTACATTCCCTTCTAACATTTTCGATAATTAATAATATTATGCTTAGAAATTTTACTAGATCATTTACTTTAATTGGATATGTATCATCGCCGACTTTAAGTATAAATTGTCAAGGTGTTACATCATTAATATAACAGCACTCACTTTTTTATTCGTAGTCTTTGCAATTCAGATATACGATAAAGCACAATATATCATTTGTGTAATTCACATGAATGTTGCTGTAATGATTAAATTAATTTACTATAATTTGTAAAATCAGAATTTATATCAATAATAGACTTGTAAGTGTAGCATAGAGATTTATCATCTACGATAACTAGTACCATTGAATAACTCTAGTAGTGTTTCATATTTCCGCAACAAAGTTTGGGACATTAACTAATATCTTCTCGCATCTTAATTATCGAAGTGTATAGAAGGACAATCTTTCAGCTCTACTGCAACACAATTTATAGTTACAAGTTTCTAGAATGGCTAAAGAGGACTGACAGTATTACGTAACTAAGTAATTTCGTATCATATTGCGGTTGATTCTTACGCATCAAATTGCTATATCAAAAGTCCTAAGTTTGCTGAATTTTATATCATTATATTATAAGGTATAGTTTATTATAGAATGAACTCTACATGCCGCAGCATAGTAGAAAACTACCACAAATTCTTAATGACGATGTCGTTTTTAAAAACCCATCAGAACTGCCCTAAATCAAAATGCAGTAATGATGCTTAAATACAGAATTATTAATATGAAGACATTTATAAGTTTTCATGATAGCTGGAAAAACTGTAAGAAGTTTTTACGCGTTGTTACATCTGCATTTCTGTTCTTGCTACGGAAGAAGGAAGTATTTTTCACACCATACAATATTGTGTTCTATCAAAGTTATATACCGGTACCTTATGCCATGGAATAAAACATTGCTTTGCATTACGAATTGTATAATAAAATTGTTTTAGAGGATTGAAATTTTGGAGCTATTGCATTAATTGTAGAGGATTGCATCTCTTAACAAACGATTCGAACATGTCGTGTGCTATTTATTAACATCAAAAGATGTCAAATCATGATTGCATCGATGCATGAGATGCTATCAAGGAGTTGAATAAACGTGTCTTTCAACTAGGGTATGACAATGCAATACATATGTAGACATTATTAACAAATTAAATAATGTCTGACAACCCGATCAATATTGTCCATTGGAGTAACATTCTAGACAAACCCTGTCTGTACATCCTTAATAGTTTTATGATAGTACGCTGTTAAGTATTGTACAGTATAACATTGAGGGTAAGACCAACTATTTTCTACTATCATTACTATTAGACTACGTGACGAAAGTACGTAATTTAAAAGCACAATATGAGCAAAGGGCATAGGGCAAAGATCAATTACGACGTCAGATGAAAACGAAGCAACACTTCCATGTTAATATTAGGTTGCCCGCTCATACAATTATATTATGATCGTTACGTCCTTGGTCAATAAAATTTATATATTATTACGCGGAAACACCACCATGTAAACATAACTTTTACAATTATCATGCAACATAATGCTCTTATTCACAAATTTTCTCGTAAATCTATATCGTGATACCTTTTTATCCTTGATATTAGTTGCTATTCTAAATAATTGCTGTTTATTTCGGTCACGATTGTAATTAAAAGTCTATAATATAATGCATGCGTATCATAAAGTAAACATCAATTCTTATTTTAATTATGAGATCGATAACTCTTATGAAATATTCATATTGTAGCCAAGATGACTAGCATTAGTAAAATAGATTACTCATCAAGTGCCTTTAGTACTTATTGTTATTGATATAATGGTACCCGGTACATATTGAAATTATGTTTTAAGGTTTCATGTCTAAGTGGCTGAAATCTTCGCTTAAGTTCAGAAATCATTAATGGCTGATAGCTTCAATCTGTAAAATGATAAATGATAAAATTAATAGACGCTTGCTACGACACCCGATAGGGAAAATTATAACGTTGAATTAAAATAAAAGAGTAAATTAGTTGTAGATGACTATTGCTATGATATAATCCAGTCATTTAAGCAATAAAAGGACTGAATACTTAAAATAACTTTTTCTTCAAATGAAAGACGCAACGTAAAGATGGAAGTCAATCGCTAACGATACGAAGAATAATTTTCATACTGGTTGATTTTGCAGATCTAATTGGAATAATTGAATAAAGAGTACATTCAATATGTTTGCTCTCGATTACTTTGTAAGCTATTATTGATGCGTAATATTACCGTTTCATGTTATTAAATAATAATAATATTAAGGTTGAGATTGTTTAAGCAAGATTCAAAGTTATGGAGAAAGTTTCTGCTGTCATCATTTACTTCGGTACCGTTTAGTTCGATAGCCTTACCGGTTATCTATAACAATTTATGTGAATCTGTTAAGATGCTGTATATTCTACAGTATTTATTATTATTAATAAGTTTGATTGAACAAACAGTCTGGTATACCTAATCTGAGGAATATCGATGTGTTGACGGTGTAATGAATACGAGTAAAAACTAAATTCAAATTAATTATATTAACTATGTATTATAAATATGCTGTAGTATGCATTGAATTACATCAATTATTTTTTATTATAGTTAAAATATATTGTCATTAGCATCAAACTTTAATATTAATACCGATATTTAAACTTAAATGACGTTCAAAGAGTAAGCATGCCTAATAACTTTTTTATAAAACACTTGTAAAAATTCGTAAATATGCGTTTAATTGAAATTGATCAAAAAGAAACATCTCAGCTAGAATTATTTTATTGCCGTAAAGTATAGAAGGAGGAGTAAAAATAACAATTTATTTACCAAAACAAAATATAGAATTTATAACAATAAAAAGGAAAAACCCTACAATCTTGACGTTCTTAACGATGAATTAAAATTACAATGATGATTAAGCTATAATTAAAATCCCTATTTCTCAATCTTCTTTATCGACTAGCCTTCAACACAAAAGTACAATTAAATATGTAGCTTGTCACTAGTGTCTTCGCAAAAAATTTCTCGACATTATCATCATTGTTGTTGGTAAGCAACACGTGGGATCAACAATTATTCTAAAGTATCAATGATAGCATATTCTTAATTATCCAACAATAAAGAAAGTAAATGCACGCCCTGCCCTGGGGGTAAAGGTCGCTAATTAGGTTGCGATGTATTAGCTAAATTTTCTGCCTAATTACTTATCAAATCAAATATGAGAAGCATTGCTTTCTATATTGCAGCTGATATTTGAGAGCGTCTAGTGATCGCAACGTATCATGAAAAGTTAGGGTGTAGATAGATACTGTGAAAACTAGTAAGCCCTTTCGTAATAACGCATTCTAAATTGACCAAGCTAAACTAGGAAAATATAGATTTTAAATAAAAGTGGGCTGAGGATATTTTAATTATTGCCGCAACTATCCTACTTATTATTACTAGATAGTTGCTGTATCAATGGAATTATTGATAGTGTAACACTGTAGATAGGTACAACATACATATGTCTTACCTTGTATGAAGCATGTTTACATATCGATTAATAATAGCTGCGTAGCTTATCATTAATTATAATTTATAATAGATTGTATAATATAACTAGATATCAGTTCGCCCTCATTAAGTTATACTAAAATTAGGTACTGAAGAGATATCAGGCTAAATCCAAATAGTTAATTTACCGATGCGGATCAAGATGAGGGTCGTAATGCTTCTGTTAAGCATCCTTTACGTTTCGCTTGTAAGTTTAGAAAAATTTTTCTCCTTTTCAACTTCAACTGTCTTCCAGTAACTGTTATCGTGCGACGTGAGATTCATTAGTTTATTTTCAGTTTATTAACTTAATATTGTAGTAATTTAAATTTAAATTTAAATCGAGAAAATTTTAGTCTGTTGCCTTGTTGTGATTGCGCTTATTTAGTAATATCACGTAACTTACTACTACGTAATTTTGAACATTTTATTTTCTCTACGTAAGCCTTGTACTTTAGAATTAATAGTTGATTCTCCTCTATGGTACTGTAGGCATAACTTTTTTTACTGCATCATACAATGAATTTTAAATATATCATCAGATGATGTTTGAAAAGATAATGTACTAAAGTTGATTTGCGTTGTATCATCTGGAAAGGATTATGGATTAATGTATTGCTTTGATGATTAGTTTAATTCATCAAATCAAATTTGATATCTACTTCAAATTTTATTATCTTAATGTTACCCTCAAGAAATTTTTTTATTGTTTCCTATCAATTTCTTAAAACACTTTTGATATTTGCGATGGCTTCTAAGTCATTGTTATGATCCTTTTTAATTCTTATAAGTGGACCTGATGATGCAAGTGGTAAAAAATTAATTTTCAATTACCTAGCTGTAACCTGAACTTAAAAATGTTGCAATTTTTATCTTTCCATGACCATGGTCGATTCTATAGGCTACAGCGATTAGTACTCCACTAGGTCAGTGTTATCAAAAGAATTTTCATTGATTATGCGTATATCAATTAATAAAGAGTCTAATGCAAATATAACCGGTTCATTACAATGATAAAGTTATACCTATCGACAAATAAAATGGTAAATTAGCTGATCAACTAACTGATTCCATATTGTTAAAATCAATCAATATGATATAGCCTGCAATATTGATCGCTGTAATGGTAGAGGATTTTGTACAATCATTCCATTTGGAAATCACTTTAGATGTTCATGCTATGCTGGCTATACAGGGCATCAATGCCAAACAGGTTGCCAAAATAGAGCTACAAAGTTTAACATCATGTTCATTATGCTAACTCTCCTTCAATTACTTTCTTAGAAATTGCTATAATTGTAACTTGTTTTCTATCAAATTTCAGCCTTACAGACTCAAAGATATCCTTGTGATCAGAACCCTTGCAAATTTGGTACCTGCTATAACACGTACAATGGATCCCAATCAGGATATATTTGCCTTTGTAAAAAAGGCTATTTTGGAAATAAGTGCTATTTTGGTTAGTTCTGAGACAGATATTAAACTGTTCCAATAAGACGTAACAATTTTAAAAATGAAGTATTACTACCTACCTTGCGCGCAATTGAATGATATACGCGTAGTCATGTTATATACAATCCATCAATTTATCGTCTTATTTTCGTACTGTATTAGAAGAGAAAAGTTATTGTCCTAGCGCGTGTGCAAGCTCTCCATGTAGCAAAAATGGGCTATGCGTTAATCAGAATCAAGGTAACACTTACAAGTGTTTATGTAAAGAAGGCTATACTGGTGCTATTTGTCAAAGTCAAAGTAAGTCATTTAAGTAAAGCTGTAATTGATTACTATTAATTACTGCAAGTGATCACAATTAACTGCTTTTAAATGAGATCTAATATTCCAACATCGATTTTGTTCAATTTTAAATGCTACGTCAGATACTGTCTATAACAAATAGCCCAATAGGTTTACATAATTATTTAATTTACGTAATCCATCATTATGACTATTCGTAGTTTAAAATTATCTAGAGTAGTGGAAGTAGTAGAATGCTATCTTTAATATAGAGGAAATTCTTTACGAATAATTCACGTGTTAGCGACTCATAAGCCTAATAATTATAGCACAAGGTAAGGCTATCGGTTTTAGATAAGATAAAAGAATGTTAATATAAATGAATCCATTAAATACATTACGCAAAATAAATTATGCATGCCATTAACTTCCTTACATTACTATAACTACATATGCCAAAGGATATCCGATTGTATGCGATGGAATTATTATGTACTCATGCGCATTATACTTGCGGGATATCATAATTCAGATTTCGTTACTCTTGAAATGCGCCAAACTCACTTGATGGCGTTAATATAAAGCATCATTAATGTACCTTACTAATCACTAGCTGAATCGAGGCAAACATCCTGTATATTTCGTACAGCTAGACTTCTGAAATACAAAACCTATTAAATCAAAATGTGAGGGTGTAAACAAACTGATCAACACACGTACTGTACCGTAGTTGCAACGACAACTTGTGTTAAATTATTATTATTTTATTTATGGTATGGTACTTTTTCTTAGCGTTGGCTCTTATATAGCGATAGTTTTAATATTCTATTGGGTACCCGTGACAGCTTTCTGTAGACATTCATATCCATAAATTCGTATTCAGTTCTTCATGAGATATATTTTACGTAGAGGAGGATATGGAGTTCCTAGGCTAATCCCGTTGTGCTTAAATTTTCTTATGCAGTGCCCCCACTTAGTAAACCAATTAATTCACCTCAAGTGAGATTAGTTGGTGGACGTAACCGATTTGAGGGTCGCGTCGAAGTATTGCACAATAATAAGTGGGGTACAATATGCGATAACGGTTGGGATCTCCAGGATGCCAAGGTAGTTTGCCGGCAACTTGGATTTCAAACAGCTGTTGGTAAAGCATGCTGTGGTAATTTTGGTCGAGGTACAGGCACTGTCTGGTTAAGCAATGTAAACTGTACTGGTTACGAGAATTCATTAGGAAACTGCTGTCTTGGTACTTATGGCTCTAATCAATGCAGCCATGCTAATGACGCAGGAGTCATGTGCACAGGTATTAAAATACGAGCATAACTAATAACGAGGCATATACAATTACTATTTTGCACTGTATTACCTTCAAGACATTTCTGTTTCGCTAAATTTGCCTTTCTATATTTATCAGCTTTTAATTCATATTGAATGAAAAGGACAAATTGTTAAAAATGATATATTAATATCTGATATTGCAGGTCAGAATATAAATGGAGATTTAAGATTAGTTGATAGCCAAAACAAGAATCATAAAAGCGGAAGAGTTGAAACATTCTATAATGGCACATGGGGAACCATTTGCGGTGACCCTTTCGACTTACTATCAGCGAATGTTGTTTGTCGTCAGCTCGGATTTGCAAAAGCTTCCAGCTTCTCAACTATTAGTCCTAACTCTGCCAAGTATCAAAACGTACCAATTCATTTGGATAATGTTCACTGTTCAGGTTCTGAAAGTTCATTAATTAAATGTGCACATGGTGGTTGGAGTAGTAATAATTGCAAGCACAGTCAAGATGTCAGCGTTACCTGTCAAGGTAATCTAGTTAAGAAAAGATATGTTCAAATCTGAAGATATAGAACTTATTATTTCTATTAAAGTATAATAATTGCCATGCTGAAGACAGGATGTTAGTCAGCTTATCACAAAATCAACATATTTCTGCTGAATTTAGTGGGAAGTAATCTTTATTTATGTTGGCTTATGATTAATTCGACAGATGCTTGCGAAGTTACACCATGTGTCAATGGTACATGTATTCAAGGATCTGGTAAAAGTTTTTGTGCATGTTCCCCTGGCTACGGTGGAAAATTATGTCAGTTCAGTAAGTTAGCCTGCCATTAACATTTATGTATATTGTATACGACAGATATTTCAACCGGCTACCGTAAGTTATCTGTCGTAAATACGTATGCAATGTATAATTTATACTTTATGCCAAAATTTAGAGGACAGCTGTGCAACCCACCCTTGTCCATCTAACGCTACATGTCAAAATGTACAGACTGGTTTCTCTTGCAAATGTCCGGAAGGATACTATGGACGATCATGTGAACTTGGTAAATTATTATGTGTTATAATCCTGTGATTTGGCTGCCCGTATATTAAAGGACGAATCATATATACAAATATATTCAGTATTAAATCGTCTTAATTGTATTTCGGCATATTAAATAAATTATGTAGATAGTGTTTTTGAAAGTTTTCCATTACGATATTATATATAGGACCTGCAGCTGAGGGAGATATCCACTTAGTTAATAGTACCCTTAGAAACTCTGGACGATTAGAAATTTTCCATAATGGTATTTGGGGAACGATATGCGGTCAGAACTTTGATATGAAAAGTGCTACCGTCGCTTGCCGTCAATTAGGATACAAGTATTCTCAAAATTTCCAATGCTGTGGAAATAACGGAATTGGCAATAGCTATATGTGGCTGGATTCAGTTCACTGTTATGGTAATGAAACTAGCTTAACAAACTGTCCACATAGTGGGTGGGGTCTAAGACGTTGCAGTGCAAGAAATACGGTTTCTGTTTCCTGTACAAGTAAGTCATACAAATTTTTTGCGATTATCTACACATGCTCTTATATTTTAAGTTAATATGTATTTAATATGCTGTATAATTATTTCTAAATTTGAGTGCCTTATGTGTAATACAAAGCAGCACCTTAATGATAAAGTTTAAATAGTTACTATCTTTTCCGTTAATTTTCAAATATCGAACTATTTATTACAAGGCGGTAAAAATACTGAAATTACACCATTATAAAAATTTATTTGTAATAATGTAAAATTTATTCCTTCTGCGTTAGGTAACCCTTGTCAGGCTAATTTATGCCAAAATGGTATTTGCACCCTAATTGGAAATGGCTACTCATGCAGTTGTTATCAAGGCTGGAACGGCTCTAATTGCGATGTAGTTGGTAAATAATCATTTTAGCCAATATTTACAAGAATAATTAGCTATAGTTCATATCGAAAGTTTTCACGTATAAGTTAATTCTAAACCCTAGATCTTACGTATTAGCGAATCGATCTTTGTCGCTAATGATCTATTAATTGCTATGTTTGAAATTATTCCCTTTAGCAATGAAAAATTCTTCATGTATCCCAAATCGTTGCGTTAATGGTAACTGTCTTGAAATTAACAATTTACAATATTCTTGTAACTGTTCAAGTGGCTATACTGGAGTAAACTGTGAATCAGGTAGACTAATGTATTTAAATATACTTTACATTATAGATATTACTTTCATTTTACGTAAATTATTTCACTTGCTGACTGAAAATTTTTTAACGTTTATATCAAATTGGGATGTATTAAAACTATTGTTCTGATATTAAACCAATAAACTGTCAGAAAACTCATGTGGTTCTTCACCATGCAGTCGCGGCACATGCATTAATGCCTACCCTGGATATAATTGCACCTGTCCCATAGGATGGGGAGGCAAAATTTGTGATATGAGTAAGTCGTATTATATTTGTAAGGAAAATTTCAAAGCATACGAGATATATGAATTGTTAATGCGAAAAGTTATGTCATGACATCGATTAAGCTTATTATTGTACCGTAATACTTAATAGGTATTAGCTGCTCCTCATCTCCCTGTGCTAGCAATGCAACATGTACTAACAAACTAAATGGTGGTTATACCTGCAATTGCCCAATGGACTTTTACGGAAAAAATTGTGAAATGGGTATCAAATCGTACTTAACTAGGATATCTTGTGTTGTACGAAGACATCATCTAACGACGGATTTGCTATAGACCTAATAAGTTTTCTCTAATTTTTATTGTATCATTTTAATTAGGTCCAGCAGATGATTACACGATTATGATATCCGCTAGCAACAACCCTAGCAGTGGCTTGATCAACATATTTTTCAACTCAACCTGGGGAACTATATGTGATCAAAATTTTGATATGATGGATGCAGTTGTTGCTTGTCGTCAACTAGGCTATGTGACAGCGGCTGGCTTTAGGTGTTGTGCTGGATACGGCCAAGGAAACGGACCAGTCTTCTTTACCGATTTTGCTTGCAAAGGAAATGAAACACAATTGTCGGATTGCGATCATCAAATGCTTCTGGGTAGCTCCGCTATGTGTGATCATACGAAAGATGTTGGTATTCAGTGTTCAAGTATGTTTTTATTTACCTATTTAAGATAATTTACTTCGTAAAGCCTTCAATCAGTTATAAATTAAGATAATAAATGGCACTTAGAAATCAACTTAACATAATGGTCAACTTTCCTTAGCTTTACCGTCTTCGTACTGACATTATTCTGTTTTCGTTTATAAGACGATCCCTGTGGATCTTCGCCCTGTATGAACGGAAAATGTAGTAAATTAGGTGATGGGTTTAACTGCACTTGCAATGTAGGCTTCAGAGGAGATCTTTGTCAATTCAGTAAGTTGATCAAGCTAAAGAGTTGGATATAGTGTTAGAATTCAATTCTTTCGTATCATTTACAATTATATAAGTTCAATTGAAGATACGAAATGAATAATACCCTTTAGAAATTTGGAACTATGCATTATAAATAACTATGTTGATTGGTAACCATATTTTCAGTTGATAGCTGCACAACTCAGCCATGTGTAGCAAATTCAACATGCCAAAACATTCAAAATAGCCACACTTGTCTTTGTCAATCTAATAAGTATGGAAATCTTTGCCAGCAAGGTACGTTAGATAGAACTCGCAATACGCATCTTATTAATTGAAAGCATGATTTCATTATAGGTTATAGATGTTACTTATATAATAACTCGAGCACAATTTTTTAAAAATCGTACTTTAATAATTTTGGATATATTTATCGCGTATAATTAGCAAATCTCCGTAAGTTTTATATTGATTAGGAATCATAAATGTGCACATAATTGATCTATACTTACAGATAACCCACCACAAGAAGGAATGGTACAGTTAGCGGGGACTACGTCTGCTACAAGAGGAAGAGTAGAAATTTATCATAGCGGCAAATGGGGTTCAATTTGTGGAAATAACTTCACATATAGTGATGCCTATGTTGTATGTCGACAGCTAGGATTTTCAACTGCTGTATCATTTACTACCAAGGCTAATACTTATGGACAAGGTCATGGCAAAATTTGGTTGTCATATTTACGATGTTACGGCAATGAATCATCCATAACGAGCTGTCAACAACGTAGCCAATGGGGCTCAAGTTCTTGTCAGCACACGCAAGATGCAGGCGTTTCATGCTCAAGTAAGTCTCATTATAAATTTTTTTAAGTAGATAGTATTTAAAATATTTATCTTCAGGCTAGTTACTATTTAATAGTTTACAAATGTGCAAATATATATTTTTTATTTAATTTTCATTAATAAGTGAATCATCGAAATATTTCTCACGCTTGTTTAGAGACAATATGCGATTCGAATCCTTGTGATTTCGGATTGTGTACCAGTAACGCAACAAGTTATTCATGTAACTGTAATTTTGGATTTACGGGCAGTAGATGTGAACTGAGTAAGTATAACGACTACTAACAGAATGATAATAATAAAGCCTGTAATAAATGCCTATAGATTTAAAATTTATTTTAAAATTTAACTTTTTTACCAATTAGGAGATACATGTCTTTCTAATCCTTGTCCTTCCAATGGAACCTGTACTGTTAATTCCAATGGCTATAACTGTTTATGTCCACAAAATTCATATGGATCTTTCTGTCAATTTCGTTAGTATCATTATGATTCTGCAAAATTTTTAAGTTTTATGCAAGCTTCTATGAAATAAAACTTTACTAAATAATACAAAAAATCAGCAAAGTCCTATCAATATATATGCACTAATATACTGTATAATTTTACTTAATAGGTCCTTTAAAAAATAGAGCTATCCGATTAGTTGGAGGCACCGTGTTATCTGGCCGTCTTGAAATATATTATAATAACAGTTGGGGTACAGTTTATGATCGGAACTTTAGCCGAGTTGAAGGTGATGTTGCTTGTCGTGAAATGGGATATGCTCGCGCTGGGCAAGTGCGTTGCTGCGGTGCATATGGAGCTGGCCAAGGCCCAGTGTGGCTAGATGAAGTTAAATGTAATGGCAATGAAAGTACTTTAGCTTCTTGCAAACTGGGTGCATGGGGAAATAAGCAATGCGATCACCGCCGAGATGTGGGTTTAATTTGTCAAAGTAAGTGAAATTGAATGTTTATTTAAGATTTCTTGTCTTTCGGACAATAATTTTGGCACGTTGCTTAAAATACTTTTTACTGTAAAATAAACTGTAAGTAGCAAAAATTTGGTAAAATGACTTCTCTAGACAAGTAGTAGCACAGTCCGTAGTTAATAGAAAGTTTTACAGTAGTATGGTAATATTATTTAATCAATCATAGTAATTAAATATGATCATTCTTGGCTGATTTGATATTCCTATGTCACTCAATACAAAATATAGCACACTGGCTTAATTGTGCTGTATAAAATTGATATCAAAGTAGGAAACAAAGTGAAAACTTCTTTAGTCACGTAATAGCTAATTCGTTAGCTTAAAATAAACTAATGATACAATATCAATGCTAATGAATGACTTACGTAATGATTAACTTATCGATTGTTAATAGCACAATGTCAAAGTATTAATATAGAAATATGCAATTGCTGATTTACTTCTTCAAAAGGAAATCCTTGTTTTCCTTCATCGCCTTGTCTATACGGTTCCTGTGTTGTTAATGGAAATTCTTATACTTGCACTTGCTATCCGGGGTTCACTGGGATTAACTGTAACACAAGTAATAGTTAACACTTAAATCATTGATAAATCTTCCATCAGAAATCTAAATTTAATAGAAATTCCAGCATTTGTTTATTATTTTATCAAAATTAAGTAATTTAATAATTGTATTACTGATACTAATAAAAGGAATCAACCATTGTGACGCTAATCCTTGTCCAAATAATGCAACATGTTCCAATTTTAATGATGGTTATCGCTGTCTGTGCCCTGGAGCTTCTTTCGGGGAACAATGTCAATTTGGTATGTTACTCATTTGAACCAGTTACAATAGTATACATAGAACCCTTATATCTAAAACTTGGCCCTAACGATATAACTTCCATGTTACAGATCAGCCCAAAGATTATGACATCACGCTAGATTATACCCATGCACCTGGACAAGGCTACTTGTTAGTTTATCTTAATCAAACCTGGGGCAGAATCTGTTTTGATGGTTACACTAGATACAGCCAGTTCAATAATGAAATTATTTGTCGTCAGCTTGGTTATACATCATTCGAAAACTGGCTAGCACCAGCTTCCTTCACCTCAGAAAGACCAATAATTATGAACGATCTATACTGCAAAGGCATAGAATCGAAAATATCCCAATGTGAACATAGCAAAAGCAATGTTGGTTATTGTACAAGGAATCGCAATAGGCCCATTGGCGTTAAATGCTCAGGTTATTTTTATGTTTAGTACTCATACCAATAGACTAGCAATCTCAGGAGATATATGAAGAGATTGCACAGTATGCAAATCGTTTGAGCTAGATTGCATCCATCTACTTAAAATATTTAACTTTTGCTAATCAATAACAGATCATCAATGCTCTCAGAATAATCATTGCAATCATGGATACTGTATTATTTTAAGCAGTAATACATATTCATGTGTCTGTGAACCAGGTTGGACAGGACAGCATTGCTTAACCAGTAAGTTAGAAAAAAACTTATAATAAATTATTAGATATCAGTGGCAATGACTAAATTTTTATAATTCTAAAAGTTAGATAGTATTGTATCAATAGCCTAATATCACATTTATTTTTACGCGGTAATGTTTTAAACTAGACATTAACGAATGTGCCTCCAATCCATGTGGAAATAGTACTTCTATGATTTGTTCAGATCTAATCAATAATTATGGCTGTAGCTGTGTTAGCGGCCGCTCCGGCTATAAATGCATGTTTGGTAAGCAAACCAATGAGCATTGATAAATTCTAGCATAATACATGTTCTATCGGAGTATTATCTATTTTAAGCTAGTATACGATCACTCAGATTAAGCTCCTTTACTTTGTGAATTGCTAAAGATTTAACTGAAAATATTAATATATCATTTAAACTTATAGATAGCGTTGCTATTGGAGTTCGATTAGTCGGTGGTAACCACAATTTTGAAGGCAGAGTGGAAGTTTATTACAATAGTCAATGGGGAACTATTTGCAACGACAAGTGGAGCATTAATAACGCTAATGTGATCTGCCGACAGCTAGGATTTTCTGGAGCTGCTTCTGTACCATCAACTGCACGATATGGCTACGGTTCTGGCATAATCGGCTTTGATGATATCCAATGTAGTGGCAATGAAACTACAATTACCAAATGTCCGCATCGATCATGGGGGATAAGTAATTGTGGTCATTCGGAGGATGCGGCTGTTGTATGCATTGGTAAATTATAACAAATAACATTCTTAATGTACTTAAATAAGATATAGGTTGTGTAATAGACGTATAATATGAAGTAAAGCACCTACAATTATCTTGTTATTTCATTCAGATAAACCAATGAATGCTATGACTCCACCTCAGCCTCAGTAAGCTTAATTTTATAAAGTAAAGCCAAGTCGAATACAACAAAACATATGCATATACTAATCATGTTGTATCATTTTATATAGTCCCGAAACGTGTATCACAAGACCTCAAGGTAATTAGTATTATTTTAATTCTTGAGATTTATATTAAACTGATTCCAACATAATTATTAATCTAAAGGCTTGAGGTTACCTTGCGACGATAGACCATGCGATCGTTATAATGCAACTTGCGTCAATATCAACAATACAAATTCTTATACATGTCGCTGTCAGATGGGTTTTTTCAATGGTTCCTCATGCATCTCAAGTAAGCTATAAAGTTGAATAATTTCACATAATAGTTTATAATTCTATATTACAATGCACAATATCTTGCAGCTGTTCCCTTTTGATCGACAAGTCTACTATATACAAATCTTTCAATTATTAAAGAGCGAAAGACTAATATTTTTGTAGTCCGTAACATAAATACTTGAATTCTACTCAATTATTACATTCGTGGATCGTAGAAGTGTAAACCTTAAACCAATATAATTCATTATTTGCTACTACCTAGGATGATAGAAATAATTAAATTTTTGAAATTAATGCGAGACTTTTACTAAATCTATCTACAATTAATCTAGAAATCCCGTATTCATTAATATCATTTAAGAAAATTGGTAGCTTAACTAGTCCAGCTATGGCTTTAGTATGCATTGTAGGCGGTCATCCGAAACCTAAGATTCACGTATACAAAGGGAATAAGCCTGTTACTTCCGATGGAATCGTGACAACCTCTGCATTTTCATTTGATAAAATCTACTTTATTTCTACGGTAAACCTAACCTCAGTTATTTCTGTGCATTATGGACGATATACATGTCGTGTTACTTCTTCATCTCAAAATATAACCAGCAAAGCAATAGTTATAGGTAACCTGTAGTCATACCTCAATTTCTACTTTAATAATTTATTAATGTAGATCCACTAATCGACGATTCTAAGACAATTCATCAATTAATTATAACAATATCAGGTGTTTGTGATAGTAGTCCATGTGGAAACAATGGCTACTGTAGGAGCAGTGCTGATGAACAAAGCTACAAATGTTTATGTTACTCCGGTTTCACTGGAACTAATTGTCAAAAAGGTAAAATGCGCCATAACTTTTATATACGAATTCATTTAAATCCTATGTAGGCCACTATATCATATTGCATTAGTTATTAATGAAATGTAATAAGCGTATCTTTCATTTTAAATTAAAGCTAACGTTACCAACCGATATCCATGTGATAACACGAAGTTATGTTCAATTGGAAAGTGCACTAATGTATACAACGGTACGAGTTTAACAAGTATTTGCAAATGTGATATTGGCCAAACAAATCCATCATGCTATAGAGGTGAGATGCTTATTTGTAGCGGTCATATTTATAAATATATCGATTGATTGCACAAAAAATCGTGTAACAATCTACGTTAATTAATTTAGAAATAGTAAATTACCTTACAGTTGAGTCATTAATTAACGTTGATTTAAATCTTTTTAGATAAAGTGACTTATTGTCGGGATCCATGCATGAGTAGTCCTTGCAATAATGGCTATTGCTACTCAATTAGCTTTGGTACTTCTTATAGGTGCAGCTGCAAGTCTGGCTTTACTGGCAAAACTTGCAATGTTCAAAGTAAGCTAATTTTTCCCGATACATAACTACAGCAATTAATTGAACACTTTCGTATTTATATTTTAAGCTAATATGCTTAATCCCATGCAATAGTTTAAATTTTTCAAAGTTGCTTTATTAGCATATTAAGCTATAGTAATACATGTTATAATAATTATAAATTAATACTGAAATTAAAAAATTGCTTCGGCTTAAAATTTAGTGACCGTTCCTTCCACTCCAGTGGTCAATGAGCCTAAAATCCGATTAGCGAGAGGATATAATCGATTTGAAGGACGCGTTGAAGTATTTCGTAATGGTCGTTGGGGAACAATATGCGATGATGGTTGGGATTTAACAGATGCTATGGTCGTTTGTCGTCAATTAGGCTTTACTAATGCTATAGGTAAAGGCTGTTGTGGACAGTTTGGATTTGGTACAGGTCAAATTTGGTTAAGTAAAGTCAACTGCTATGGTAATGAAGGCTCTCTGTCTACTTGCAATTTAAATTGGGGTTCAGCTGGCAATTGTTCACATCGTAATGATGCGGGTGTTATATGTATAGGTATAGTTCAACATAAATCCACAGCTTAAAAACTTACCTACATAAACGCGAAAAATATGGTTATATAGTGCAACTGCATAACCGATAAATTTGGTATAAATGAATAGGACCTAATAGGAATGGCGACACCCGACTCGTAGATGTAAGCAATGATCATAAGCACGGACGAGTGGAAGTTTTCTACAATGGAACTTGGGGAACAGTTTGTAGTGATGGTTTCGAATTAACCTCTGCTCACGTTGTATGCAAGCAATTAGGATTTTATCGAGCTTCTACTTTTAGTCGAACGAGTGAAAACTCGCCTGCGTATCAGAATGTGCCAATTGTTTTGGATAATGTACACTGCACTGGCACCGAATTATCTATATCTCAATGCAGCAACACTGGCTGGCTTGTAGCTAACGGCTGTACTCATCACAAAGATGTTGAAGTAACTTGCCAAGGTAGAGGATTGTAGTTTTATTTACAAGAACCACTATCAAGTAGCGTAAAGAAAATTTGGAATTTGTCGTATTGAGTAAATCATCTTCTGTATGTTTCTGAAGAGCGCCTGTATGAAAAGTTATAGTAAAAATTGTAATCTTATTATGCACGTCATTATTGGTATTATAATAATTCTTATGGATACTAATACATTCCAAATATAGTTTGTAACGGCAATTAAATATAGATTTAGCTAGAAATAACGTTTTCTTCTCATTTAACCCTGATTTCTAGATGCATGTCAAGTAGCAAAGTGCGTCAATGGCCAATGTGTTGAACAATTTAATACTTATAAATGTGTCTGCCAACCCGGATGGGCAGGGGATAGCTGTGAATTACGTGAGTCAGTAAATTCTCTCTAAGAAAAAAATCATGAAATAAAGCACGAGTAGCTGTTTGAACATATTACATAAGAGATCTACGTATATCAACTAAAAAATCCATAACTACTAATTCTTGACAATTAGTGTATGAAAAGCGTAATGGCTTTATGTTTTCATAATTCTAGCAGATTTTTAGTATTTTATATAATCCTACCTTTTTCGAAATATTATAGGTGGAATTGTTTATCACACCCCACAGCAGATTTTTAGTATTTTATATCATCCTACCTTTTTCGAAATATTATAGGTGACAATTGTTTATCACATCCATGTTCTGCTAATGCTACTTGCCTAAACAATCGATTTGGCTATATATGCCAATGTCCGACGTCATTTTACGGCAAAAACTGTGAACTTGGTAATTAATATTTTTCAATTAATAAATCTTCAAAATTTTAAGCTAGATTGAGTTAGCATTGAATAAATAAACTAAAATATAGGTCCTGCTAGCAATGGAGATGTTCACTTGGTCAATGGCAGCCAGCCGAATATTGGTAGGCTGGAAATGTATAACAATGGCATATGGGGAACCGTTTGCGGTACAAATTTTGATCAGAATGACACTATGGTTGTCTGTCGCCAGTTGGGTTATAAATTTGCATGGTATAGTCGATGTTGTGGAGTTCACGGAGCTGGTAATAATTACATGTGGTTGGATTCAGTCCACTGTAAAGGAGCAGAGCCTAACTTACTAGCATGTGAACATAGTGGTCTAGGACTACGCCGTTGCAATCCGTCTAGCACAGTATCTGTTGCTTGTCTAAGTATGTTGTATTAAATTTTGATTGAAACTACTCCTTTGAATTGTTTTAAATCAAGGTTTTCTGCTTTTAAAGTTCAAACTTAACTAAACTGTAACTAAAATTTTAGATGATGCCTGTTTATCAAGTCCTTGTTGGAATGGAGTTTGCATCTCAACACCAACTGGACACACATGTAATTGCTACGCTGGTTGGACCGGCCTTAACTGCGCCACAATCGGTAACTTGTCGCTAATTCATAATATTTAGATACTTGAAAGATGTTTAAATGGCTTCCTGTTACCATTAATTTTGTCATCAAATATTTTTAACTCTTGGTACTTGCTGACATTCATATAATAGGAACACAAAATAATACTTGCGCTACAAACCCATGTCTGAATGGTAATTGCATCAACACCAATAATGGAAATAATTTTACTTGCCAATGCCAAGGAGGCTATACTGGTAGGCGTTGCGAAACAGGTAAACCTCAATCGAAATACTTTGTACGGATAGTTTGATATACTCCATATTTCAATAGTAATTGATTGTATATTAACTATAATCTTTTTAACTTTCGGATTCTTCAGAAAATAGATGCCTCCTGTCACCTTGTGCCAATGGAACTTGCACTCCTCGACTTGGTGGTTTCACTTGTACCTGTTTATCTGGTTGGACAGGAGCATACTGCAACGCAAGTAAATCCAACTGATCACAAATTAATTTAAGGATAAATTAAATCTTTTGGCTTTTACATTTTATCTGATTATTAAATAAGTGATTCCTTTATGGCTACCTATCTAACATAGGTAATAGCTGTGCTTCGAGTCCTTGTAGCGCCAACGCAACCTGTCAACAGAACATTGATGGTCATCAGTGCTTATGCACAATTGGCTATTACGGCAGTGTCTGTCAATATGGTTTGTTAAATCAACGCAGTTGTTTCAATATTTATATTGATCACTTAATGCGACGAAATTGACAAGTTACTTTCGCATACATGTATGCATATATGCAGGGCCAGCAGCTGATGGATCTTTAAGATTAGTCGGTAACATGGCTAATAGGGGGTTACTAGAAGTTTATCGTAACGGCATGTGGGGTTCAGTTTGTGATGCTGGATTCGGTTATATGGAAGCAATGGTAGCGTGTCGCCAATTAGGATATAATACGGCTGTTCGTGTTCGCTGTTGTGCACTTTTTGGCAAGAGTACTGGCCCCATTTTGCTAGCCAATATCAATTGCACAGGTACAGAGCAATCTTTACTCCAATGCACATATGAAAACTGGACATCGTCCATGACTGCTTGCACGCACAACAAAGATGTTGGAATCCAATGTTCAGGTAGGGTAAGATGTAATTGGTTAGGGTATTTATGAAACAATCTATGAAAGATCAAAGTCAGTCTTATAATTAAATTTGTCAGTACCGTACATTCTATATTTTCAACTTCTAAATTATTTAAATGATCATGCTACTTTCTGAAGACTGCTATACCTTACCAATAATTTTTTAAACTCTATATAGATGATTATTGTGCTTCCAGTCCATGTGTTTCTGGTTCATGTAATTCGCTGATCAACGGATACAATTGTAGTTGTCTTACAGGTTATAGAGGCAAAAGATGTGAATTTAGTAAGTTAATGTTAATAAGACCATTACCAATCGTAGAATGATCAAGGAATCTTAATAGATTGTATTGTTTATATCGTCAAAGTCTAATTTTATAAATTATTAATTATCCATTATAAAGTTGATGGATGTTCAGGGAGTCCATGTTCTACTAATGCTACCTGCCAAAACATTGGCAATACCTTCCGATGCTTGTGTCCTGGTACTTCTTATGGCTCAAATTGTGCCAACGGTAATAAAGCATGCTAGTAATACAAGACATTTTGTAATTGCCTTGTGCCAATTAGTCATTGACAATACTACTGAAAATCACTACAAAACTATATTTAATGTTTAAACCTACTATAGCTGGGCCTCCTGCAAATGGAGTTATACAATTAGCTGGATCAGCTCAACCAGATCAAGGCCGCGTAGAAGTCTATTACAATGGCAGCTGGGGCACTATCTGCGATAATAACTTCGACTTCAAAGATGCTACTGTTATTTGTCATCAGTTAGGCTATCTTACAGCACTTACAGCAGGTTGTTGTCCTATATCTGGACAAGGAACGGGATCAGTATGGCTTAGTAATTTGCAATGCGATGGTACGGAATCAACGATATCTAGCTGCAAGCATAACGGATGGGGAAATAATACATGCGCCAATGCTAAAGATGCATCAGTCACCTGCACAAGTACGACATGATAGAAACCTAGTGATATAATGGTATTCTGATGTTGCGGTCTCAAGCATATGCTTATACACGTAACAGATATTAATTTACAATACTTAACTTTAGATATATTTCTAACATAAATGCTTGGTAATATAGTGTCACGATATTAATATTTTAAAAATTAGTTTATATTAAGTTTTACTAAGTATCATTTTAAAGCAATCATTACCAGCTTGTAGACGAACAACTTATTATTTAAATTTTATTCTAAAATTTTTTCCATCCGATTTACAAACAGATAGTTTCTGTGCTTCGTCACCCTGCATTCTCGGTCAATGTGCAAGCAATAGCAATTCATATACGTGTACATGCATTTCTGGTTTTACTGGCGTTAACTGCGAATCAAGTGGGTTACAAACTTTATTACTTTTAAGCATCCATTAGCCCTACCAGATAAAATTAAACCATGCCAAACCATATTTTCTACATAACTACATTTAAATTAATTTATCGGTCGCATTTTGATGTAATTATTGTAGTTTATTTAAATTTGGATTCTTCCTCCTGTAGGATATGCCTGTTTCTCCAACCCATGTCCAGCTAACGCAACGTGTATCGGTGATAGCACATATTCATGTCAATGCCCTCCTGGTTATTATGGGCGATTCTGTGAAAAAGGTAGCGTATTTTTATAACCAAATAAATTTTTGCTGTATATGAAAAATATACGGTATGCTAAACTATATTAATTATAGTTATGGTGCTAACTATATACTGTAACAAACTCTATATAGTGGCCTCTGTATTGCGATACTAGAGAAACAGCAGAGGATGATTGTGTTCTTATTTGAAATTTCATAGGTCCAGTAAAAGAAGGAGATATAACATTAGTTAACGGACCGACAGCATTACGTGGTCGATTGGAAATATATCATAATGGCGAATGGGGAACAGTATGTGATCAAAACTTTAACACTACTGATGGCAATGTTGTCTGTAGGCAATTGGGCTATGCTAGATCTGTTGGAGTAACGTGCTGTGGAGGAAACGGACAAGGAATAGGTAAAATCTGGCTCACCAATGTCCAGTGTAATGGCCAAGAAAGTACTTTATCTCAGTGTTCTCATACGGGCTGGAATAATAATACCTGTGCACACAGTCGGGACGTTGGAGTTAGCTGTCAACGTAAGCATAATAACATTGTCAATATTTGAAGATTTAATATGTTCGCTTAATAATTTTTAACGTTGATGTATCAGTATATATGGATAGCTAAATGCTAAATTGATCTGTAATACCTTTAGGCGACCCATGTACTCCATTCTCACCATGCTTCCGTGGATCTTGTGTAGCTATCAATTCGGTCAACTATACATGCACGTGCTATCCAGGATATACTGGTAGAAACTGCGATCAAGGTAAGGATAAGTTTTTTAATATAGTAGATTGACATCATTATGATAACCTGTTCATCAGGAAATGCAAGTAGTGAGATATTAAACTCGAGTCAATATCGATTTGAAATTTAATGCAGCATTCTTGTATTGATTAATTAGTCGTTGATAATTGCTTACAAAATCCATGTTCAAGCAATGCCACTTGTCAATCATTCTTTGGTGGCTACAACTGTGTATGCCCAGGCACTTCATTTGGTCCAATGTGTGAATATGGTAAGTACCAATGTATAACTTGAGACGTAATTAAAGTCTATGGAAATTCTAGCTATGCAGCTATTTTAATTATTTGCTCTTATAAATACCAGCAGTAAGGTAGGCAAATTATGAAATGAATTATTTGTATGCTCTGATGTATAATAAATTACAATAACTGAACTACATTACAATCTACAGCTGCACCTCAAGAAGGTGATATTCAACTCAACTACAATGTAGCTCCTGGAAATGGCTATTTATTGGTGTACCATAACAATCAATGGGGTAGAATTTGCTTTACTGGTTTCTCTCGTTACTCTGACTTCAATCAGGAAGTAATTTGCAGACAGCTTGGATATCAAACATTTCAACCGTGGCTAGCACCGGGTATATATACAGTAGACAAGTCCGTTATCGTCAACGATTTATATTGCAAAGGATCTGAAAGTTCGATCAGACAGTGTACCTACAGTAAGCAATCAACAGGCTTTTGTACTGGACCTAATGCTAACAGACCGATTGGTATTAAATGCACAAGTAAGTTACGTCCTTTATTTCAACGTTGTATTTTGTGATAAAAATTCTTTAAATAGCCACGGTACTGGCAAAGCATTCTTTGTTAAGAAAGTTGTTCCTTTATAACGGTAGATCATCCATGTTATGCAACTGCTGTATGCAATCATGGTTCATGCAGTGTCTTAACCAATGGTTCATATCAATGCTTCTGCTACCCTGGATGGTCGGGATCTAACTGTAATCAAAGTAAGTAATAAGTGAGAAAAGTAATTAACACTATGAGTAGTTATCTATACCCCTTAAATGATCAAAACGCACCTTACATTCAGTGTAAAATTACTAACTGTTCGTTTCTAAAAATTCAAATCTTCACGTAGACATTAATGAATGCCAGTCTAATCCTTGCAGTTCCAACCCAAATATGGTATGCGTAGATGAAATTAATGGTTACTCTTGCAAATGTGCTGATGGCTATACTGGTTATCAGTGCCGCTACCGTAAGTTATTAATATCTAGGCAAATGGTTCCCGCGCAATATTGAGTCTATAATACAGTTAAAAAGATTATAAATGGCTTTAAACTAATTTTGAATCAAAATTTATAGAGGCAAACAAGATAGGAATACGCTTAGTCGATGGAGGATCTTATATAGAAGGTAGAATAGAAATTTATTCTCATGGTCAGTGGGGAACAATTTGTGGTGATAGTTGGAGCTTGGCCGACGGCAATGTAGTATGCCGTCAATTAGGTTTTCGTGGTGCTCAAGCGGTACCTAATATTCAACGATATGGTTATGCCACTGGTCCAATTATCTTCGATGATGTTCATTGCGTCGGATTTGAAAGCTCAATTTCGAGATGTCGACATAGTAGAATAGGAATAACAAACTGTGGTCATGCCGAAGACGCGGCTATCATATGTCAAAGTAACTTTACTTGTAATATGTTAACTAGTTATGATAAATTAGTCTACGTTCCGAATTTAAGTTATTTTGATCGTATTATAAACCTTAGATGCGCCATTCAACAGCACTATGTCTAAGCCGTCAAATACAACAAGGTTAGACGTATAATTGATGTTAGATTAAGTGAATAACAGTTAAATTTTAGCCATTAATACAATTGTTCTTCAATAGTTCTCCACTAGCTTCACTAATACCATGTATTCAGCGGCCTCCAGGTACAATAATCTCCCTGTATAATTCCATTTGTTTTCATATTATATTATTTCGCTATGTAGTCACTTATAATTTTAATTTCCTGTAATAGCACTACAGCTTCCTTGCGACAGTTCGCCGTGCAGCGCTTTCAACACAACTTGTGTCAACATCTTCAGCGGAACATCCTTTTATTGCAAATGTAAAATGGGCTATTTCAATGGAATCGGCTGTATAACTGGTAACTGAGACATTGATATAGATATCAATCCTATCATATATTATGAATATTAATCAATTAGTACATAGCAATAAAGAATGTATTTCTAACCTCAGAGTTTCTCATCACTTTTCACGAATTTAAATATAGCAATACTAGTACAATTTGAACAAAATCCGGTTGCGGCTTTTACGACCCTACCATTAACTTTAACTTGCTCAGCGTATGGTGATCCATTACCAAAAATAGCATTCTATCGTGAATCTGAAGCGATTACCACCGGCCCTACTATATCAATATCAACAAGTACTAGCGGCAAATACACTGTAACATCAATACTTACAATATCTCAGATTCAATTCAACACCTTTGGTTCTTACTGGTGTACCGCTTCAAATTCTATCACAGTATCCAGTCAGAAGTTTATGTTTGGTAAAAACTCTTATCTTATTATGATAATACATACATCTTAGTGCTATCAAGTGAAGCTACCTATGTACTACATATACTATATAAATACTGTACGTATTAATGTTTTGTTTCTACTACTTTTAACCAGCTCCTAAATCCTACTCTGTGACTCTAACATTGTCTACGCCGTATGTAAATGCCTATTCTAACCCTAACAGCGTAGAATTCCGAAATATCGAAAGCAGTGTGACCAATCAAGTAATATTCGATTACAATTTATATATTAATTAAGACCCGGATATATAATCAAGAAGTTTTCAATTAAAATATGTAGCTACCGGTAGTTTACTTAAAATTAATATTTCGTTAAATTTTAATACCCCGGTAATCTATTAATTAGTTTTGCTAAATTGCTTCCAAATTAGAATAAGTAGCTACTGTTAATTGAGTTAAAACTGACATTTTGGTACATTTAGGTTAGGCAAACTTTTGCAGCGAACGCTGTATCAAGCAACAGCTTTGTAGACGTCAGAGTTGTTTCTATTAGGTAAGCTTCTAAATGGCAGTATACAGTACGCTTCTCTTAATATTTACTGCCGGAAATGAGTGCAAAGTCTGTTTTAACGTTTGACGATGATGTGTACTAATCTTAGTTTCAATAATTTTACTTAACAGTCGCTGTAGTACCTGTGCTAGTAGCAGTATCAACGTCAACTGTGCTATCTATTTGAGATCGACTTCCACCGTACTTCTCAACCAAGTGCAACAAGTTGCAAACACTATTAAATCTATCGGTAGCATTCAAGTAGCCAACACCACTACTAATAGTAAGTAACTGGTATATGAGTAAACGTGATACCGAGATATTAGATGAAAATTTATACTTAATACAATCATTTTTACCATAATAAATTTAAGGCACTTTAATAATCGAAATTTTTTACCGACTTATCCTCACTAGATTATAACCTTTGCAGTACATCCTTGAATAACTGTAGCCAAAATCAAAATTGTATGACAATTGGATCATCTATTCGATGTGATTGTAAACCAGGATTTAAGAAAAACGGCACTGTTTGTTCAGGTAATATTAACAAGAGCTGTCATTAGAAGAAAATAGTTTTACGGAAAACGGTCCTAAATATCGCCATAGTGAAATAGCTTTAAACTATCCTTAGAAGTACTCTATTTTTATTACCGCATTAGGCTAAATATTTCTATTTGATAATAATATAGACATTAACGAATGCTTAAGTAACATCTGTCCACCCAATACCAATTGCCGTAATACCATCGGTTCATATAATTGCCCATGTAACAGTGGATACATATTGGATTCATCTAATTTCTGTCAAAGTAAGACAATTTTGAGGTGTTAATTAATCATAAATAATTGGTAGTAAATTGATATAGAATATCAATTAATGTTACTACGGTAGAATCGTATTTAATGTATAGAGATGAGTTAACGTATTCACCATCTTGGTATATTCGCTTATTAGGCATATGCCCAACTGATTACTGTTTAAATGGTGGAACTTGCACAACTTTTAATAATAAACCAGTATGCTCGTAAGTATTACTGGAATTTAAGTTTATTAACTTTCGTTGATATGATTAAATAAATTATGTATCTATTATATTTTCTCAACAGTTGCAATAATCCATATCGAGGCAACCGATGCGAAACAGGTTCCTCTACGCAAAGTTAGTAATAACATGTTGCGTACTGTATGACCTCATTACCTTATAGAATTAATCGTACAGCCTGGTTGTAAATGCGTTTCTAAATAGTAGTAGCTATGATAAAGTCGACGAAAATATTATGTACACATCCCAAAAAGGTATTTTAAGTTTGTTTATTTCATTCCATAGCTGGCACTATCATAGGTATAGCATTGGGTAGTGTTGCTGCTATCATTATTACCATGATCATTCTGGTCGTCTATATTAAGCACAAATCCGTCCCAGTGAAAAGGCAATGCTCATAGATCGAATAAATCTAGATAGTTTCGATATTGATCACTGAAATTTTCTTGAAATGTCCGAGGGATTGATTAACAATGTTGATTATTATCTTTAAACTGGAAATATAGTACAAGCACAATGGCTCTTGCTAATGCCCAATCAATATCGTCTACAAGTGTTCAAGGTAGCAGTTTTAAGCTATAAACTATTAATGTAGCCCATTAATGTAGACTGAGCCTAGTATGATAGAAATGACTGTATTATAGATGCTGACTATACTAGAGTATATAGAGCATATTATTCCTAGCTTATTCATATAAGATTAATACCGGATCTTAATTTTTCATTGGTAACTAATGGTAAAGTTAAGTAAAAGATTTCTCAAGCTTTAATTTACAACGACATACAATGATTTGAAACTTTTCTCTAACCATGTTACAGGACACGAAAATCCATACAGCATAGAAAGTAAAAAAGAAGTCTCTAACTTTTAAATCAACTAAGCCATAATTAATCTTCGAAATCTTATGGTGTTCGTTATTCCTTGTTATAAAATGAAAAAACTTTTCAGCAAATAGTTTTAATCAATATTTTTCTTGCAATAAATTCACTCCCTTTACATTTTTAATCTTATTCAGATGATTTTAGTCTAACTTCAATACTAATGTATTAGTAATTAACTATCTTCTCGTACACTATTTAAAAATTTACTCGACGATCGAAGCTATAAATATTTAATCGTAATTTCAATCAGCATACTTGTCGTTTCAACGATTTTTAAAATATTTTTGACTGTGATATAATAACACCGAACCATCTATTTCCTACGAATTTATCAGCATCCATTTACGGAATCGTTTTATGAATTTTATTCTTACATTATTAGCAATCTGCAGTAAAGTAAAATATCGTAGTGTAAAATTTTCAATTTTGCCTAATGAAATGCATCTTCAGTGCAATTAGTAATGCATGCTAATATTTGTATGGTATAATATTTAATTCAAAAGTGTTATCGTAGTGATAGGATCAGATAAATTGTCATTAACTGATACCATTTGAATATAATCGAGTAATTGGATTTGTTCGTAAATCAAATCAAGGTAGATTAATTTTATTTTTATCTAAAGAGCTTTTAAACGAATACAGTAGTTACTAATTCATCTCAATAGACAGATTTAATGAACTGCTTGCGTTAACTACAAGCGTTAAAAGACAGGATTTCAATCAGTGCAAATTAATGCAAGGAAAGATAATGCTACCAAAGAACCTCAAAAATTATAACCATTAACATCCAACATCATCAAAAATCTTTAGAACTAGTGATTATTAGATCCTAAAGATTAACTAGTGATAATGATATTTCCGCTTGATCGTGCTATTAATTGAAGAAATATACATTAATAAGAGTCTACATTAGCGTTTTATTAAGATTTACTATCTCAATGTAAGATGAGATATAGCCTGGTATCATTTTACTCTGTAGTCAACAAATTATTAATACTTAAACATCTACATATTTAGTACAGTAGTATTGAATTTTTGAATTTGTTAAAGAAACTTCTTGTTATAAACTTGTAATATCAATAATGAATCTAATTTTAATACTACAAATTAACTAACTCATAGTGAAGATAACGTTAAAATAGCGAGTCTTTCATTTTAACATCAGTGTGTAATATACAATTACACGTTAAATATATAATATATTGCTATAGACCAAACATTCCACAACTTAAAAGAAAATTACCAATTACTCACTACTAAAGCTAGCAAGATTGCAAAATCCGCTTATCTGGTTTGAGAATAATGCCGTAATGGGGGAGACAAAATATTGTGTAATCCATCATAACTGTGATGGTGTTGGATTTTTATCCATCACTTTGGTAACAGGTAGTTTTATTTCTTCATGTTTGCGCCAATATAGAAAAGCCAACCAACTTTCCCAAGTTAGTAATCGCTTATTATTGATATCCATAAGGTGTATTTCTATCAAAGTAGTACGGGCCCGTTAATCAGTACGGTTCAAACTCGAATTAAAAAATAAGTATAAAAAATTTCTTATGGCCCTTGTAAGAATATTCAACTTACTTAGTTTATTACTGCGAGGTCTTGGAATGCAACATAGCCCATTAATAAAGATATATCGAAACAATGTTATGCAAATTGGTATAATAATAAATGGAGGAGGCAAAACTGGCTTTTCTAAATATTCTTCTATTAGAGAGTAACGCTGGAACTTCCAAACCGTGTCTGAATTTTCTTGTATTTTACTATAAGTATTGCTGTAAAAGCATCAATAAAAGCAAAGAGTTCAGTCTTATATTATTTAAGTGCAGCTTATAGTATTTCATAAATAAATACGGGTCAAACTTATGTATATTTTTCTTACTTGAAAACAGCAATCAATAAATTCAGTAACAGAACGTTTGCAATTAACATATATCCAGCTAATAGAATAGGAACCATCCATGTATTAGCCACACATTTACTATTTGTAAGGTAAGTAGCGTTCGGTGGGCAGTCTCGGCCTATTAAGATAATCATAAACCGATAAGATGTAGCTATTAGATTAAGGGAGTACTATATCAGCCAGTTTATCAAATAAGTTAGCACAGGTATGCCCGCGATATTTTACTACAGTAAATAAACATTACCTTGGATTTGATCCACAAATAATTCTCCAAATAACTGAAAGAATGGCATATAGAATATCTGTCGTAGCAAATTCCAGTCCCACGGTGAATTTGGATACAAAATCGCCTGACTAGCTACACCATAAGCGATGATAAAAATTGCTAGCAGTAATAAAAATTTTAACAAATCTTTGATCTGTGAGAAAAAGATAAATTGCATACTATTTCATTAACGTCTGTATAGGAGGTAAAATTATATAAAATGAAAACTACCGTATTTAAATAGAGATTTGTATCTAATAAGTACAGTAAAACTACTGTATTACCGAGACATAATTTTGAACTTTATTTATATAAGTCTATAATATCCTCATTATATTGTTTTCAACTTTGCATCGTTTAAGATCATACCATTTTATTGATCATCACCAGGAAAGGACCAAGATGTCTGCTAACTGAAAAGATATTTAATGTTCTGAAGCAGAAAACCAGAAAGCTCAAGCAATAGACTATATGCCCAACATCACGAGTAGCTTTAAAAAATCTCATAACTACACCAGTAGCAAAGAGAAGTGATGATATTGTATCTCCAATATTCCCAATACTCGAAAAGTATGACTTTACTTTCGCAATGTATGTCGGCTGATTAATTATGACCAGCTATAAAAAAACAATGCATACGCAAATAACTAATGAGATTGCTAGACATGAAGATTTGATCATGACAACGTTTACTGAAACGCATTACTGGAAATTTGATCAAGCAGAGCAGGCCATACCTGTCTAACTTCTTCAATAGTATATGTTGCAACCCATCCGATTAGAATGTATTCAGGGATACTCGGGGATTGCTGATAATCAGATAGGATGATGTATGCAAATAGGACGATAAATACCAGGAAGGAAATCTTTAATGAAGATAAAGTAGCGATAGTTTACGTATTACGTTAATGATTGACACAAGTATACTTAACAAGCCAGAATATACTGGAAATGAGATCGATACTTAAACTTGTAATCAATAATGGTACTTATAAATGAGGATTTCTCAGGAATATTTTAATTATAGAAAACTGAAAATAAATGATAATAATCTTTATAAACTTACGACATTATACGCAAAAATTGTCCTGGGTGCAGTTAGAAACTGGCATCGGTTTCCTTGCAAGCAACTTTTACGTTCAGCAAGTTCTTCATCTTGTTCATCAACTAATGCCGACTGATCGGTCATTTCAGTTCCAATGTCTAAAGCATAAGTAGATCTACGCCTCCAGATCCGTTTCTTAGATTTTGAATTTGCATCTTCATTGGGATTGGTTTGTTCTTGACCTGGCAATGCTTTAAGTTCTTGAGGCATCGTATCCTAATGTAAGCATAAATATTGTATCGAAATCAATAATTTTGACAGTACTTATTAATAATCTTTCAGGAGTAAGTTGTAATTACTTCATTACCGCCTGCTATATTTACATCTGTATAAAGATATCGAATATAATATACTAATAATTAACTTTCACACTATAATTATAATTAAAGAGTGATCAAAATTATAACAAGTAACGCGGCTTGGCAATAATAGCAGACTTATTAAACGGGTGTAATCATCACTATTCATATTGTAATATGGCTTACTGAAATATAAATACTCTGCAATCTTAAATAGTAATCCTATGCTAATATACTTCCGTATACGATAACTAATGTAATCAGTCCACTACCTACAATGAAATTTTTCAGAATATAATTAATTGGTGTTCAATATTATAGCCAGCTTTGCATAAATGACATGATGCAAAGCGGCATAGTAATGATCGCAGACTTATTAAAAGGGTCTAATCATAGCTGTTGATATTTTACTCTGGCTAGCTGAATATAAATATTCCGCAGTTATAAGCAGTAATCCTATACTAATATACTTGTGCAAACGACGATCTAATCAATCTGATAGGGCTAGCTTAGATAGACGGCTATTTTGTAAAATGGCCGTATTTGCGCAGCCGACTTACAAAATAGCCAACTAGATAGACATATATAATCATATAAAGTGGCTATCATCGGACATTAATATCTCTGCTATGCTTCATTGGTAAACTTTTACTAACATCGTCGACCCATAGTTTGCTTAACAACGATTGACAGCAGCGTTCGGCTAAAAATTTCTCATTTCCAGACGAGTGAGAAATTTGTAAACAAGTGGCATTACCCCAATCTGGCATGATTATTCGGAGTAGTATCATAGCATTAGCTTCATCATCATCGTAGTATTGACGTAAAAAATTCACCGCATGGCTTTGGAACAGACTATAAATTTTAGTAGTCATAGTCAATCCATCATAAGTTAAAAGGTTCAAAATAATTTTCATTTATACATAAAAAGGAAGCCTATTTGA